TTTGGGTGTGGAGGCCCAGCTATCTGTAGTTTTACAACTAGCTTGCTCTTTAATACTAGATCATTTCTAAAGAATAGTTTCTTCATAAGATTCTTAATTGCGTTCCAGGTTTGGGCAGTATGTAATCAAAGGTAAAAACTGGACCTTGGAGCTAAAGCAAAGCACTATTTATGCTTTGCCATTTACCAACTGAATGACTTTTTGCAATTTATTTGTTCTTTCTGGTATTGTAATCTTTAAAATAGATGTTTACAATAATAATATAGAATTTACGAACCTTTAAGCAATAATGTCTGTAGAGTTTAGCACAGATGCAGGAACTTTAAAAGTGACCAGTACATGTGGATCTGTTGTGTGATTTTTTTCTCTAGGATGATATGCAGATCATTCAAATATTGCTAGGCTCGCTACTAATGTCCCAAATTCTACTTACTTATTTAGAAAGTGGAATTATTTTACATGTGCTAATCTTTCAATTCAGTCTAAAATGTGAATTTATAAGTTACAGTGCTGATGAATAAATTTTGCGGGCTATTTTATTAGGTTGGAAAAATTGTAAATTTCATATTTGGACTGGGTAGAAAACAGAAAATTGGTAAAAATATGTTTGAGTGAAAATTATAGATTCTAAGAAAAACTTTTAAGAGAAAAATTGACCAATTTTGCCTTGAGATTATCATATTTAACTTTTTTCATAATAGAAAATTTGCTCAGTAGTTTTATAAAAGGTACAGTATAAAACATACATGAAAGACAAGAATCCACATTACAAGAAAACTTTAAAATCAGGAGAAGTGAATTTTCTTAATTCAGGGTACAATTTTGTACAGGGCAATCATCAGTGTGGGGTTGGTTTTCCTTCTTTTTAAACATTAAAGTATAAATTCATCATAAAATTCCATAGAATCATCCTTTGAGCATAATCTCTAAGGTTAATGTCAACAAATTGTACTTGCATAGCTCTCAGCAGTTTTCAATGTTTTTACATATATTAGGCAAGAGAAAATTCCCATGAGGTGGGCAAATTTCCAATGATGAATGTCATTATATACCTTAAATGTACCAATATAATTAATTAAAAAATCCTTTAAAAAGATGAGGAACAAGTTTTCATTCACTAAGTCATAGGAAATGGAAAAAAGTAATCTGATTCAGCAAAGAAAACTCAGTTCTGGCAACTAAGTTAAGGACTGTTTGTAATAACTTGTGGCTAGTGGGTTTCTAGTCCTTTGATCAGCTTTTGATTTATAGCAACACTCTAATTACTGATCCAATTTAAAATTCTTAAACCTAGCAAACTATTTAACAAATATTAATTTTTTATGAGCAATGGGTAAAGTGATTGTAGTTGTTTCTTAATAGATTAAAAACTTGGCAAGGCTTCCACAATAGCACTAATAATTTGCATAGCATATTAAAAAATAAATAATTGTACATTCTTATGTTTCCTTTTCTAACCTGCCATTTTGATAGAAGTAGGAGAAAAATTATTATAGATTTTCTTTCCCTGCATGCATTTATTTTCATCAGTAATATTTGAATACATTCAACTTATGTTCAAAAAAATTACTGAGATACTTGATTCTTGAAGATACATTGAGTTTTCAAAAAGATGAAGAGCTTCAGTCTATGATCTTTGCTCTTAGCTTCGCTTTGTTAAAATTTTTGGAAAGATGAACAAATAACTGATGAGCATTTTCTGAGGGTTTTCCAAGAGCAGATGAGATTTCATGGAAAACAAGCCATTTGAAACTTGTTTCTTACCATCTTTAATGATATTAGTAGGATGGAAAATTGAAAGAATTGTGTAAAAATTTAAAAATACTTGTGCTATCCTCAAGGAGAGGATTAAGGAAAGTTGGCTAATAGGGTGAATATCTTCTAATACTTGTATGTAACTTGAAAGAGAAATAAATGGATATTAGTCAAAAGGATTGTTTCAGAGTTCTTTATTTGACTCTTCCCTGTTTATATGTATTTGTTAAAGGCTGATTTGATATATGTGTGTTAAGTGGGTGAATTAGATCACAATTTAAAAAGATAAGAGTAAACTATGACATAGAACTATATAGAACACCAGGAAAATGTTAATTTTCTCTGTGGTGTGCCTTTCAGAGTAAGATTCCAATGTTTGACTCTAATATCAAGTTTTATGTTATCTTACCCTGAAATATACTTTGAATGTTTTGACTGGGATACTGAATGGAAATTAGAACCATGCTAAAATAATGGAAGATGTTTAGACTGGAAAATAGAATATTATATGGGCAAAACCTATTCTATGAAATATAGAACAATTTAAGATTGAGTAGGGAAAACTTACTTTGTATATAAAAAAACTCTGTAATGTTTATAGATTTTCATAGCTAGAATAAGTTGCTTTAGGAGGGAAATGATTTCTCAATACATAAACTGTACTAGCCAAGCCTGAAAAATGAGGGTTTATCAGGGTTATTGGCCATGGGATTCATGTGGGATTAATTGAATAATATCCAAGAACTTTTATAATATAAAGTCCTCCTCCTCATCCCAAAATTCTATGGAGTATTTCATTAAATTATTGTAAACATACAAAACTCAGTTTGATAATAATGCTGCAACTTCCCTTGGAGGAATGGAGGCATCTGTTTCCTGTTCTACTGGATCACTGACTGGAGACAGAGCCACTGTTTATAATGAATGTGGCAAAGACCTTCACAGCTCAGCAGTGACCAGGCCTTAAGAATCCATACTTAGGCATAAAATATTGTAAAGGCCCAATCTAGTTCAATAACAGGAATATTATCTTCAACAAATATTAAAATAGTCTATTATAGTTTATAAAGATCTCTAAATGTACTAAGTAATGGCATATGCAGAGCCATGCTAAAGTTGAGCATATATATAAAGGATGGGGAGACTGGTATTAAGAGAACATCAGTATTCTTCCTAAATCATGCAGCTGCATACTTGGGATAGAAAATCACATTACCTGTTACCAGAACTTGTTACTTGTTACTTGTTTCTCTTCATATTTGGTTCTAATTTCTCCATCTGACGATGATATTTTTAACTGATTCCCATACATGTTTGAACCCTCCACTTAGGGTTCAATTATTTGTTACAGCTAAAGACATCCCTGTAATTTTTGAAATGATTTTAACTTTTATTTTTTTTCTAATTTTTATGACTGGGAAATGTTTACTATGTTAACACCTCCCCCCAAGATTAAGAGATGTTTCCACCTTTGATAAATAGGTCCTGTCTCAAAAGAATAATTAAAGTCAGTTACAAGAAAAAAGGAAATCTTGGTAAATCTGTGATTGTGGGCTGAGATTTGCCCAAAACAAAATGAATAATAGCTAATATTAATAATTCCTGATATTTATGTGCTAGACATAATTGTGAGGTAGAAACTATTATAATTTTATTATTGAGAAATTGGAGAATTTTAAGCCAATTGTAATTCCAGGATTATGGGAAAAAATGGTCCCTTCATGAATAAGTAGATAAGAATTAGGAGATGAGAAAAAATTTTTGTTGAAACCCCTGAGATTTCAAATAGACTGCAGTGTGATCTTGTGACTTAGGTGTAATTGTGAATATATAGCTCCACTTTGCTGAAAGCAAATATTCTATATAAAAACTGTGTCCAAAACAATGACAAAATGTGCCTTTCTTTGCTGAAAGACTTATAGCACAAATATATTAAATAGTATTAAAATCTAATGGACTTAAATAATCTAATATTTTGAGAATAAACTATATATAGCATTGTGTTTTAAGGTCAAATCTATTGCATAAAGTATTATCTACTTGTATTCTATGACATTCTATGACAATGATGCTGAACCTTTTAAAACTTTCAATGATACAAATCCTATTGCAGCATGTGTGCCATAGGTTTGCCTCCACTGTTCTATGGCATGCCCTAAGAAAATAAACACCAATTAAGCCATCTCAATTTCAAGGATTGCAGATATTTGTTCATTATACTAATAATAAAGATAGCTGCATATATAGTTTGTTAGTCTCTTGTAACTAGGAAGTGCATTGTAATTTATAATTAATAAACCCAGATGTATGATCAAAATACATGGTAAATAGTTAAAATTTTTAAAATTTATTACATTAAACTACACATTCCCATTTATCCTGCTCTGCAAAGATACTCCACTTCAAACACACTTATCCCATATTTTTCTCACTTTTGGAAGCAGTTCTAGAAATTCTCTTTCACAGTGTCGTTAGTTGCACAATTGTGGCTGCTTTGATGACCTAAATCTATTAAAACATTTACCTTTCACAGTCATTTTGACTGTAGGGAAGAGCCAGAAGTTGTACATCCAGTGCCAGATGTACTGGTGGTTGAGACTATTGTGTAACATTTTTACAAGCCTGCCTTTCTGTTGGATGGTAGTTAGCAGCAGCATTTGCTACATTTTTTATCACACCTCCCAAGGACATGAAAGAGGGCTTCCGGAACTGCTTCAGAAAGTGGTAAGAATGATGGCATAAGTGTGTTCAAAAAAAGGGGTAGTATGTTGAGAGGGATTAGTGGCAATGTACCTTTTACTGTAATAGGTCTTTTCTTAATTTAAATATTCACTGTACATTTGAATCATGACTTGTTCATGCATAGCCAGAAATCATGAACTTTTTTTGCAATTCAGAAGCTTTTATAATAGGTTACTATACCTCCATAGATACTTAATGAATGGGCAGGTGGAGTTAATGTCCCCTTTACTGATCAGTGAGTTTTCCATCACTGCTTTCGCTTGGGTTGAAAGATTCAGTCTGTCACTGTAAATTGTTCCCATTCTTACCATCACTTCTATTACAGTATGAAATGTAGATGCTTTCCTGCCCTACCACCTATGGATGTTAAGAGGGTAAAATTAAATGATAAAACTTCCAAGTACTGGGGAAATAAAGTTTTTTATCCAAAAATTACTCTGCTGTAAATACAGATATGTTTTGTTTGATAATATTTACTTAAGGCAGGCTGGTAATTTGCTTACCTTGGGCTAATTAAAAGAGTCTTTAGAGTTTAGCACATTGTCATTTTCTCTTTGTTAGGAAAACAGACTCATCAGCATTCTCTTTATTTTTTCTTTATTCTCAGTTCTGACGCAAGGGAGAGGTGGGACACTGAAGACAGAAATGACAGATAACCTAGGAAAAGAAAACACAGAAAAAGTATCAATTCAATGAGAGCATTTGCTAACTAGGTGTGAATAACTCCAGGATCATTTACTCAGTGATAGGATACCAAGCAATGTGGGGTTTGTTTTGTTTTATTCCTAAGCACCTAAGGAAATGCTGGCTTCGAAAATACTGTAACAATTTCTTTTTCACAATTAAAGTCCTAAAAATTTATCTACTTTTGATAACCAGTTTAAAAGAAGTCAAGACACACCACAATCAGAAAGTTGAATAAATCAATGTAAGGACTGTATAAATAGACTTTGACTATGAACCAAAAATGACAGAACTATAAAAAATTTTGGTAAAAGTGGTAGAGATCTTATTAAGGGCTGAGCACTCTGATAAATATTTTGATGTATATTCTTACACCCTGATACCAACCACCTGTGAAGAGTGGTGACTAATATTGACAGTTTACAAATGAGGAAGCTGAGCTCCCAGTACAGCCAAAAATCTTAAAGCGAGCAGGTGGAAGACTCCAACCCAGAGAACAGTACTCTCAATGAATTCTCTTAAGTGCTCTGCCATCCTGTCTTTTTTCCTTACAAGTTTCCGCAATGGGAAGAAATCCTGTTACAGAGACCATGCAAAGTAATGACTGCAACTTTGAGAGAAAAGTGACAAAAGACATAAAAATAGCTTTAAATAAATATGGTTCAGAATTCAATGAATTTTACTTTATTTTATTAAAGTACAAAACTAAATACCAGATAATTCAGTGCTTTTTGTGGCATACAAAATAATGAATTTATCACAAAATTCATTTTTAATTTAAGAAAATAGGAAGAAGAAAAAAAATAAGGAAGAGGAAATGCTCCCTCAACTCTTTTTCTTTCTCTCTGTGACCATGATGATCTGATTCTAAATAAAGTTAGAATCTTTACTAAAGGCTGTTCCTTACTGTTGTCACATTCAGAGTCTCTTATCATAAGGCTTACATAATGTTGAATTATCTCAAATTTCAAATGATTAAATCCTTCTCACTTTGTGACTTGGAACAAGAGGAGATGCCAAATAGTCATTTAACTAGATGATCATAAGAAATTTTTAAAAATAGCTTGAGCAAGAGAAGATAGAATGAAGAAATGGTGACACATCTAAAAATTTGAAGACAGGCTTATTCTGGTTAGGACTGTCAGACAAACATATAAGAAAATCTCACTTCCCTTCAACAATCGGTTCTTCCCAACCTAATGAGGAACACTTATTTAGTAGTCAATATGACAGGAGGGCTAAACCCATCATGTTTGGCTTTCTTTAGTTTTTCTCTAAATCCCTTGAGTTTCCACCCTCTTGGATTTCAAAAGCTTTGTCTTTTCTTTTAGCTGAAACCTTTTCAGACATAATAAGTATTTAACTTTCTCGCTAGACAAACTCAGAAAAGATCAATGGGCAATAGAAAAAGAAATCAGTTCATACTTGAGAGTAATATCCTTTTATACTTCCATTATAATTTCCAAGACTTACATGATTATGTTGCCATGACTGTTGTAACTGCTATTTGGTTATATATTCTTTGAGAAAACATTTCAGGAATATGGTTTTTAAATTGTAAGTATTTACAACATATGATTCAGTCTTGTTAACATTAACTTTTGTTTTTCATTATAATGTATGATCAGTTGTTCTCTCTATATGCTCTCTTGCTTTACCACTTTTAACAGACACAGAGTATACTCAAAAACTCATTTTCACTATTCCGGAGAAACATCAGAACTCAAATGTTATGGCATCTAAAATAATTTGAAGTTTGTTGGTGTATGTATGTAAAGATATCCAACTGCACTTTCAAATGAGGAGTGTGAGTGATTTGGTCTCAAAAACATGGTCTGTAGGCAAGTGGCTATTTTCCTTCCACACCAGGAAGTTTGCCATTTGGAAGGGGCAATGTCTGGAAGGAGGATCAGTGTGGAACAGGCCAGGCAATGTCTTCCCATCCACGTGAAGATGGCTAGATACCAAGGCAGTTTTAGTAGAGTTTCACATCCTCTGGAAAATCAATATTTGTTAAAACACTGGGGTGTGTTGATATTAGGACAATCAGAGATGTCACTCAAAACATCAGTTGTTTTCATATTCCCTTTTCTCTTTTTATCAGTTTTGGTTTTTAGTGCCTTTGTTTCATTTATCTTCCTTCAATTTCATTCTCCATCTTCTTTCATAGTACCGCTAGTATCAACAATTTGCAAGTAGCCTTGACTCAAAACACAAGCAGTTATTCACAAAAGACAAGCAGTTTTCAGTGAGAATTTGGTCAAAGGATAGCAACATTATATATATAATGAGGGGAGCTTTGGCTTCATTATGAGAGAACAAGGTGGTGTTACAATTGAGGCAGAGGCACTTTAGCATTAGCAAAGAAAACTGTGGAGGCCTGAATAGTGATTACTTAGGAATACTGATAAAGAATTATTAAGGAGCATTTAAAGTTAACCCTATAATAATGATAAGGCAAGTGGGCATCTTTACAAAAGCATAGGTAGGCAGTCTGAAATATGATGTGTGTCTAAATTAATAGCATCATAGAAAACATATTGCTCATATTGCCTACACAGGTGAATTCAACTCAGAAAAATAAAGCTACAAAGGGTAATTGGAAGTGCTATTATCCAGATCAGAATGTTCTGTAGGTACTATTAACAGCAACACTTTTTGTTTGATTTTGATGTTTGCTTTTATAACTTTATAATTTACATTATTTTTATGAAAATCAGTCTTACATTAAAATATATTTTAATAACCACATCTTTCTCATAGTCTACTAATAATACCCCTGTTTTTCAACTCAAAGTCCTTGGTTGGCTCTTTCACCCCACTTAAAAATTAAAATTGGGAAAATGATGTAAACAGCTTTCTAAATGCATGTTATCTATATCTAATAGTCAAAGACCTTCATAAGAAACAATATGGTCATGCTATTAGCAATCATATTAAGTAGTTTTTAAAATTCACAATTCAAA